AATTTTTGTGTCACTGGTTGGTCAATGTCTCTTTCTGTCCTTAGTGCCGAGTGGCGTGCCTTTGCTCGGATTTTTGTATGTTACTACTTTGAAAAATATCACACTGTTCTTACGTTTGTAAGAATTATACTCGAAGTTTGAGCTTGAGTTTTGCTTATCCTTTAACTCTAGGATAGCGTTTGTATTTATAGAGTTTTTCTTCTAACTGTTACAGCAATTACATGAGATAAGAATGGATTAATTCAAAATATTTTGAATTTTGAATTAGTCCGTTACAGAAGTAACTAGAGTAATAACTACATTCGTTAAAGTAATAACTATAGTAATAACTAATTGAGATAAGAATGGACTAATTCAAAATATTTTGAATTTGAATGAGTCATGCATTGTTATCCTTAACAGGCCCCCGCAAGTTGAAGGTGGTCTTCTGAATGATCTTCACTTGGATCTGAGCATATCATGACGACACCTTGTAAGAGGCTTGGTGAAGATATCCGCTATTTGGTCACGTGTGGATATGAAGCGAACCTCAAGTTTGCGTTGTGACACTAAATGGCGGACGAAGTGAAAGTCTACCTCGATATGCTTAGTTCTAGCATGAAAAAGTGGATTAACCGTAAGAGACGTTGCCCCTAGGTTGTCGCACCAAAGGATAGGAGGTTTTGATTGAGAGATGCCCAATTCTTGTAACAGTGATTGCAACCATACCACTTCTGCTGTGGTGTTTGCCAATGCCCGATACTCAGATTCGGTTGAGGAACGTGCAACGGTATGCTGCTTTTTGGCTGACCAAGAAATTAGATTTTGACCCATATAAATTGCATAACCTCCTGTTGAGCGCCTATCAGTGGGACAACTGGCCCAGTCTGCATCACTGTATGCGTGGAGTTCTGTGGTGGAGTGGGAACTGATGAACAATCCATGCGAAACGGTTTCCTTTAAGTAGCGTAGGATCTGCTTTACCGCACTCCAGTGGTCTTCTGTTGGTTCTTTCAAGAACTGGCAGACTTTGTTTACCGCATAAGAGATATCTGGTCGAGTTAGAGTGACATACTGAAGAGCTCCTACTGTACTCCTATACAAAATAGCATCTTCAAGTGGCTTACCCTGATTAATTAAATTGGTATTTGTAGCCATGGGCGTGTGAACCGGTTTAACACCGTCCATTCTGGTTCGGTGGAGGAGATCTGTAACATACTTCTGTTGTGACAGGAGGAGCCCTGATGGATGTTTGATCACCTCAATTCCAGGAAATAATTAAGTTCGCCCAAGTCCCTTATAGAGAACTCCTTGTTTAAGCAGTTGATAGTGTCTTGAATAAATGCCGCGTTGGACCCTGTAATAACAATGTCGTCAACATAGATGAGCATTGAAATGGAGAAATTGGGCCGATGTAGTATAAAGAGGGAAGTATCGGTTTTTGATCCAATAAATCCCAGTGATTCTAAAAAGATGCTCAACCGATGGAACCAAGCTCGCGGTGCTTGTTTCAATCCGTATAAGGATTTTTGTAGCTTGCATTTATGGTTTGGCCTTTCTTTATCAATGAAGCCCTGGGGCTGAGCCATGTAGACTTCTTCAGTTAAGTTACCATTTAAAAATGCATTGCTAACATCCAACTGCCGGAGTTTCCAATTCTTTGTCACAGCTAATGAAATAACTGTACGGACGGTGGTTGCTTTAACAACGGGACTAAACGTTTCTGTGTAGTCAATACCCTCCTGCTGATTGTAGCCCTTGGCCACGAGGCAGGCTTTGTACCGATCTATCGAACCATCTGCATGTGTCTTGACTCGATAAACCCATTTGGAGCCCACGACATTTGCTTTGGGATTCAGTGGAACCAAAACCCATGTTCCATTACGCAACAAAGCATTGAATTCTTGAAGCATCGCATCCCTCCATTTTTCATCTTTATTAGCTTCGGTGAAACATCGTGGCTCTTCCTTAGAGATTATTTCAGTCAAGTTCACATCTGGCAATGGATATTTAGTGCTGGGCCTCGGGTTTTTACGCAGCTACATTGAATGGGTTCTTGATTTTTGATAAAACCGGTTGTAGAGGTATCACAACAGCTTGTTGTGAGGAGGCATCTGAAAGAGCCTCATTAGAACCTACACCAGCATTAGACGGACTAGAAACCAACGTGTTAGATGTTGAAGCAGTATTAGTATTTGATAATGTCGGTGATGGTTCTTCAAAGGTGGGTGGAGAAGTGTTAGAGGGTGGGGTAGGAGGTAGAATATTACCATTAACACCATGGTTTGCCTGGGAGGACATACCAGCTGTGGAGATCGTCAACCAAGGATGTGATGGTGAGGGTATTTTAGAAGGGTGGGAACCAAGTGTGGCAAATAGAAAAATATTTTCAATAAAATGAGCATGTCTTGCAATATACATACGTTTAGTTTTGTAATCTAAACAACGATAACCAATATGCAATGGACTATATCCTAAGAACACACATTGAGTAGAACGGAGTGAAAATTTATGCGAATTGTATGGCCTTAATAAAGGGAAAACAGCACAACCAAATATTTTTAAAAACTTGTGATCCGGTTCTTGATGAAAAAGTGTTTGAAAAGGTGAGATATTGTTTAAGAGTGGCGTAGGTAATCTGTTAATAAGGTAAATTGTAGTTTCAAAAGCATAAGGCCAATACTGAAGTGGGAGAGATGCGTGTGCCAATAATGTAAGGCCGGTATCAACAATATGGCGAATTTTTCACTCAGCTGCTCCGTTCTGCTCGTGAGTGTGTGGACAAGCTACACGATGGAGAATTCCATGGTTTGATAAAAAATTATTTAGGGTTCTGTATTCCCCACCCCAATCAGACTGGACGGCTTTGATGGATTTTTCAAATTGTTTCTCAGCCATGATTTTGAACTTTTTGAAAATGGAAGGAACCATAGATCGATTTTGAATAGGATAGTACCAGGTATATTTGGAAAAATCATCAACAAATAGAACAAAATACTTATAACCAGAAACAGAATTAATTGGAGCCGGTCCCCATACATCAGTAAAAATTAAATCGAGAGGTGCTTTACTAATACTATGAGTGGGGGGTAGGGGTGTTTTATGAGATTTGCCTAATAAACAGGAAGCACATTTGCTGAAATCAAATGTAGAACATGGCAAATTGTTTGAACGAATCAAAGAGCGAACTTTGCTTTGTTGGGAATGACCCATTCGAGCGTGCCAGGTAGTGGCAGTGGCGGAAGTATCAAGTGAAATTGTGTTGGCGGATGGAGATGTGGTATAAAGACCCGGCAGCCGGTATAGTCCATCCTTAAGCGAACCTTGGAGTAGTGGTGTTTTGGTCTGCAAATCCTTCACAACAAAGTGAAATGGATGAAATTCAAAGAAGCAATTGTTATCTCGTGCAAAATTATGGACAGAAAGCAAATTACGTGTAATGGTAGGGACATGAAGGATATTTGAGAAATGGAAAGATTTGTTAATAGGGGTTTTGAGAGTGGAAGAACCGACATTAACAATGTCTAAACCTGCTCCATTACCTACACGAAGAGATTCATTACAGTTATGTGGTGTAGAGATATGCAGATTTGCGATGTCAGGCGTCACATGGTGAGTAGCTGCAGTATCCGGAAACCAGTCTTGCTGCGATGGAGTAGGAAGAATCCCAGCCATATTAGCAGTAGGCTGCGGTGCACCGTTGTTAGATTGCGAGTACCTGAAATAACATCTTGCAGCCGTATGGTTATATTTCTGACAAATTTGGCATCGGTCTTTCCTGTTTTTAGATCGATTGCCTGAGTTTCCATAATTGCGCTGGTTGCCTTGCCAATGGTATTGAGGGTTTTGGGTGGTAGATAGTTGGAAATTGGAAATCGATTGAGGTTGATTAGTAGGGGTGGATGATGGAGGGGTGTAAGTGGTAACATTTGCCTCTATAGGTACCGTAGCAGATTTCATTCAAAGCTCATGATTGAGGAGCAATCGATGGAGTTCAGGAAAGGTTATCGGATCAGGTTTTGTAGCCAAGGCAGCAATAATGTCAGAAAAATCAGAACCGAGATTACGAAAGACAATGGCATTTAATTCTTCATTCCCTAGAGGGTGATTGGCAGCAGCCAATTGATCCGAAATGTACTTTACCTCGCGAAGATAAGTTGAGACAGACTTGTCACATTTGGATGTATTTTTAAGTTGCATATGAAGTTGAAGAATGCTTGTATGTGATAGAGATCCAAAAGCAGTTTCTAGAGCCTTCCAGACATCGGCAGCAGTAGCTAATCCAACCACATAGGGTAGGACATCAGGTGAAAGAGAAGATATCATCCAACTAAGAACAAGTTGGTCTTTTATAATCCATTCATCATATGCAGGGTTCGGTGTAGCAGTAGTGGAGCCTGTGGGGGTGATGGTTGGAGGAGGACATATAATGCTGCCGTCAAGATATCCCATTAAGGACTGGCTACGAAGCAACGGAAACAACTGGGTTTTCCACAATAGAAAGTTATCACCGGAAAGTTTGAGGCTAAGGTGGTGTTGCACAGCCGGAGTGGATGTGGGAGATGACATCGTGAATAGAAGAGGCCGAAAAAAAAAATGGAAGAGAAAGAAGAAATAGCAGAGGTGTTTCCAAGGATCCTACTGGTCGTCTGATACCATGTAAGAATTATACTCGAAGTTTGAGCTTGAGTTTCGCTTATCCTTTAACTCTAGGATAGCGTTTGTATTTATAGAGTTTTTTTTCTAACTGTTACAGCAATTACATGAGATAAGAATGGACTAATTCAAAATATTTTGAATTTTGAATTAGTCCGTTACAGAAGTAACTAGAGTAATAACTACATCCGTTACAGTAATAACTATAGTAATAACTAATTGAGATAAGAATGGACTAATTCAAAATATTTTGGATTTGAACGAGTCATGCATTGTTATCCTTAACAACTAATTCAAAATATTTTGAATTTGAACGAGTCATGCATTGTTATCCTTAACAATGTTCATCGGCATTGTCAGAGAGCTTCGCATATGGGTAGTTTGGATCTTGGGTGGTTTTATTCGAATCTTTAACTTGGCTCAAGTCATCTTTCCTGGATTCTTTAGATACAATTTTAGAGTTCGACGTCATAGATTTACTGGACCAGTCTGCGGACGTGGACTCTTTGTCTCCGCATATTGGGAATGGAAGTGATCGAACATGATTCTTTGTAACTCCATTGGTGTTGGTCTGAAAAGAAAGATAAAAAGTTAGGCCAAAGAATATAATTAGAAAAAGTCAAGCTAGACAACTAAGATGGCATGCTAGAGCTTCCTCATGATACGTGGATACTGATTGTTATAACGATGAAGATTCTTGAGTCTAGTTCCCTAGCAATGTTCCTTCTTTACCTTATGGGGCCTGTACTCATGGACTAGTCATTTGTGAAGGCTGATTTTCTTATCAGGAGCACTACTGTTTCCCAAAGATAGTTGTCCATCTATGAGTGATGACTGGTTTCCATATCTTACATGTGAAGTTAACCTGGTGCCTATTTGTAGGGAAGATATTCGCCGGAAAGTCTTCTTATGATTCTGACACCTCATCCTTATCCACAGCTGCATCTGAGAGAGTCCCTGTTCCTGGTGGCTACAGTGATGTCGCTACTTCCTCAACAGATCGAGTGGAAACTTCAGAAGCAGTTACTGATTCCCAGGTTCGTGATCAACATGCTAGTCCATTTTGAATGTATTGAGTAATCGGAACCTCGTTTGAGTGACGTTGCTGGAGTGTCATTCTTCTTCCGTCACATATTATATTATTTTGTGGGGATAATGTGGTAGTAAGTTGGCATTTATAAAGAACAATATGAGATAGCCAGTATTACTGCAAGGCCAAATTTGGAGGGTTCACAGTGACGTTATAGAGGGAGACTATGAAAAGCTGTCCAGTATTAGTCACCTATTGATCAATCTAGATTCTTGAGACCTCAAGTGTTGGCTCAACTATCTGAAATTTCTATGCAGATTAATTTTCTGCTCTAGACCACTTCCATCTGAATGCTTTTTGTTGGCATGCATCTGAATGCATATGGATATTAGAAATTTGTCGAAACAAATAAGAGGTGTGCACTTGAGAATTCTGAATTGATTAAGAATGCCCTCTGCCATTTCAAAGTTAAAAATCATAATATCTTACTAAAAGTTACTATTTACATCTCTCTGTATGAACTGAGTTTTTGTCATGCATAGTGACTTGCTGTCACTCCTGCAAGCTGTACATGTGTCTTGGTGCAGGTTTGTGTCTATGGGCGTAGGTGGGTGCATGTGGACGGGCGTAGTTGCGTAGATGTGGTCGTGTTCATTCTCTCATGTTATTGCATGAGCAGGACCGCGTCTGTCGTCCATCTATGGGCGTGTCTCCTCTTTTGTTTTGTGTATGTGTCCATGTGTTGGAAGTGGGTGTGGGTGGTTAGGTGGGTTCATTTCTCTCTCTTTTTTTCTTTGTTTGGGGGGAGGGGGTATGTGGGCACATTGCATTTTTTAAAAGCTACAGCATACTCTGCTGTTTAGGGAGAACTGGTATAATGGTTTTTCAGAGTTTTTACCTGTCGCGATTGGTAATGAAGGCTGATCCTTAAATATGTTCTTTCGCTAGAATAATATTGCTTTAACTGGTGTATGACATGGATGGAATGTCAGTTGTCATTATACAACAGAAAAACCAAGCCTTTCTCCCCAGGTTGATTTTATGGACTTTATATGTACATGTTCTATGTTCCGTGTGAAATTTTCAGCAGGCTCCTAAACTCAAGATCTTTCCTTTTACTCTCCTTTTGACATCCTTTTAGGCTATTCTTAAACTCCTTTAACCCACATCTCCATCCTAGAGTCGCATCTTTTCGTAACAACAGCCGAAGGCTGCCATTCCACTTGTCAGATTGCCATTTATGTGATTAGAAAGTTCTTTATAGTGGAACTACTACACTGTCTATAGGCTCACAATCAAAACTACTACGGATAGGCAAATAGTTTTCCCCCTATGTTTATGGGCTCACTATTTTTTTTCTGGTCGAATATGGGTTCACTATTGAGATGCAACCATTGTATGAATTTTGATGAAAAGAATTGTATAATTATGGATTTATAGATTGAAATCTGAGGTGCCAGCTAAACCATCGTGCTTATTTCTCTTGCAAACATGGCTAGTGGTCAGTTTATCTTGTCAGTTTATCTTATACTCTATATGATATCCAAAACTGAAAATAACCTCATGTCTCGGTCTTGGATTGTGCTCATACTAAAATTAAAATGTCGGAATTAACTTGCAGTCGTTTAAATGGCCTTTTCTCCCCTCTATACTGCTCTTTTAGATGATTCATGATTCCAATGATCTGACCATGGAAGCTGAAGAGGAGATTGAGGTGACAGAGAAGCAAGATTCTGTTTCTTGATCTGTTATAGGGGATGGAGAGGCTTCTGGAGAAGAGGAATCACTACTCCCTTACAAGATGTTGCAGTAATTGAGAAAGAGGAAGTAAGGAAAAGGACAATCTCTCCACCTGGCTCTGGCGAAAGAATATATGAAATAGACTCACTTTTGCTGGGTTATCGTGAGCATCTGGACTACCGGTGAGATGCTTTGGCTTTCTACCTATAATAATGTAACACGCAATGTCCTAATCCTAAAGTATGCATTACGTTTTAATTTTTGTTGCATTGAAGTTGTAATGAATAACTCATAATTCCCATGTGCCACCGGGCGTACTCAGCCCAAATGATGATTAAAAATTTAGTGTGAAATCAAGTTTCAATTTGCGCTCGGTTATGACTTATCTCTCATTAATTGTCACATGAAGGTAACTGTGGATATTCATTGCCCTCTGCATCCACTTTTTCCTTTGAGTGGTATTTTTGGACTTCTCTATGCTGGTTACCAACTAGCTATAACCCTTTCCAATTGGTTCTCTTCTTTATTTCAAGTCTGTAATTGTAATTTGTAACTGACACGATTGGCTAGGCAGAAGTCATATGAACGGAAGAATGGAGAAGTGGAGAGAATTATAGGAAAAAAAGAAGTAAGAGGCAGGCGGTAAACTCAAATAAATTTTAATAGATAGGATGTATGAAGAGTGATTAGAGAGATTCAAAAATAATTTCAATATATACAAACGGATAAAAATTTATATCTCAGTGAATTTGCACATGTTAAATCTATCACATCATCTTCATCATTGACTTGAGTTGGGATAGAAAGAAGGATAACTTTTTTTATTAGGACATATTGTTATTCTTTCAATCCTCAGTTTGTTTTAGCGGTCAATGATCATAATGAATGGATCTTTGCCATAAAAAGCAATGGCTAACACTATGCGCTCACGGGATCGTTTGAATCTTATGATTACAATCACTTCTGGAAAAATCCTTGTTTGTCTCCATGGTAAGGAGTCAGTGACTTTTTCTTCTTATGCAGCTCAATTCTTACGTCGAAAGAGGTTATAGTGAGAATTTGACCGGACGAAAGAGGTTAAGCAATGGCAGAAGCCATAATTCATCTTTGCAGCACTCCCTCTTAATAGTCTTTTGTCTTGCTCAGATTAATCTCTTTTTTTTTTTGGTCTGCATTGCTCAGATTAATCAAGTTAAAAGATTTTGCAAGAGAATAGAGAGAGAAAGAGTATCAATGGGTTGGCATATTTGGTGGCCTCCGAGATTCCATGATTCCACAATCTGACGATTATGTTGACTTCACCGCTTCACGACTGTATCAGAATTTGTAGGTTCCATGCCTTAAATAACAACTTTGTCTTCAGCTTGTCTTAAGTAGCGTTAGTCGTGGCCCTCTGTCGACTAGGTCTGGCCTTACTTATTGATGCTCATGTTTTGGGACTTATTTTCCGTCTGCTAAAACTAATCACCTTGTCGACTTGTTGCACTAACTAACTAAGAGCCTTCAACACTGGTAAATTTTGCTTCTGCTGCGTCTTGCTTGGCCTCTTTAACCCGAGTCGACACTCAAAGATGGGCAATTTTTTCTTTTTTTTGTGTCAGCAGTACTATAGATTCAGTGTAGTCAAAATTGTAATGCCGTGCTCGCAATTCTTTCACCTTAGACAACCCAAGACTGAGTGCCCATTCTAGACCTCAATTTGAAGACCCAAGATCATGTTTGTGTTTTTCGATTATCAGTCAGTCTATTTAACGCACATGGATTGCAGTTGCATCAGAGTTTCGATTTGTTGAAGTCAACCAACACGCCTAAGAATTTTCGATTCTGTGTAATTTTAGTGCAATCAAAATGGCATGCTTGATGGGATTTAGGGGTCGCAAAATGGGTCGTGGACCAATATTTTAACTCATATTCATTATTCTGGGTGAAACACACGTTGTTTAAAATTTTACATGTGGGTTAAAATGGGTCTACAAAATCAAAACCCAATTTATGATGGGTCTTTAATGTGTTTGCGGAGAACCCAACTCCAACCCATTTCCTTTTTGTAGTTCTTTTTCATGAAAAGTCTCGTATAAGTCCCAAACTTAAAGCATTCGTGCCGATTTAGTTATAAACCTTTTAATTGTATAAATTTAATCATAAACTTTTGATCTTTTGTCAATTCAATCCTTTCGGCTAATTTCGGTGGGATAGTACTGACATGGAAGTCGGCAAGGCCTACTTGGCACCACCAGCGTTGACATGAATAATATTTTAATAATTTTTTTATTTTTCTTTCTTTTCTTTTTTCCTTTCTTCTTTCTTTTGCCGGTGGTTAGGCTTGTTGGCATTGCTTGGGTGAGGGTCGTCGTTGCCCGCCATAGAAGAGGCCCGGCGAGGGTCGACGTCCCCCAGGTCAGATCTAGAAAGGCCGCCCTAGCATGGGCGAGGGCCGGCCTCGCTATATTTAGCGTTGGGAGCCCTCACCTAGGCGACGCCAACCTGCCCGGCCATGGCCGGTCACCGACAAAAGGAAGAAGAAAGGAAAAACGAAAAAAAAAATCCAAAAATATTGAAAATTATCTACGTTAGCATTGGCGGTGTCACGTAGGGCCGTCGGTGTCCACTTTAGCAATCTCTGGCAAAATTTATCCGAAATGATCATCCAAGTTAACTCTCGTGCTCATGCTTGTCTTCATTTTCTGAAAGACATATTGGGTGGACCGCCCAAGATGGGCCAAACCCGGCCCATGAACCACAAGAGCCTACAAGGTAGTTATTTGCCTATCACTATAATAAAAGGCACCACTTGGAAAAACTACCGTGATTTTTTTTTTCCATATGCAAGCACACTCCTTCGAACATAACGTCTTCTCTGTTTTCCTTCGGAACGCAAACGAGTACGAAAGACGATCGAAGAACTCTCAAGCGCAAAGTGGCACTTAATCTGTGACAATACCGGGTATGTTCGTTGTGTGATATGCCTGTACGATCGGTGATACAAGTTGATGGTCCTCAGGCACGTTTTCCGCATTGATCGAATTAGTTTCGAATACGTTTCGAATGCGTCGATCAGGGATTGAGTTTTCCTAACATTGGTATCAGAGCCAAGTTTACTTATTTCTCGATCATGCATGTGTATCGTCTCTACCATTGAAGTGTATACTGCTTGTTTTTTTTTCGTTTCGGCCTCGTTTTGTGTTCGTTTTCTTCGCGTCGCCGAACTGTTCATGCATGTTTCGATTTTTGTTTTTCGTCAAAACTTGAATTTTATTGCATAGACAGAAAGTGCTTATCGAGACGAGCAAAATGATGGGCGGCGCGTCGCCGGAGGACACTGCACACGCCCTCACGCGCCGACAAGCAACGGCACGTGAGGCCCACATGCGGCCGTGCGAAACGGCGCGTCGGTCGCCGCCTAACCGCAGATGATGACGTCAGCGTGACGTCATCGAGAGCGCGGACCCGAGATCCGATCCGGTTGACCGTTGACCCGATCGGATTGACCGTTGACCCGACCTGATTGACCGTTGACCGGTCAACGATTGGACCTGTCAAACCGGTCAAACCGGACCGGTTCAGACCGGGCAGAATGCCCATTGTGTTCTTTCGACTCGTTCGAGGTCATTTGAACTCCGATTTGGGCGTTCTTGATATCGATGTGCTCATATCGGAATGCTCTACGTTATGGTATATTCATATGACATGTTTGCTACACTTATGAATATGAAAATGCATGATAAACCCTATGTATACGTACTTAGGGGTATATTCTTTGGCATTTTCACTAGTATTTCTCTATAGTTTTTTGAAATACAAGTGCTATATCATATGTATATGAATAAGCATTCCTTATCTTAATGTATCATGGATTATAAGTAATTTCTTTGTTATGCATTCGTTGCAAGAACAATGGTACATTTGAGACGCACTCCGATAATCCCAAGAACGACAGCTCAAAAGGAGAGGCTTGAGAAACTAAGAATCAAGCTAGCTCTTTATCACTGGGACGCTGGAGATGATATGATGACACACATCATCAAGGTCAATAAAATGATACAGAATATCATTTGGAACGGTTTTGTAATGCCGGAATATGTAATGGTCGGAGCTCTAAAATACACTATTCCTGAAGAGTTGGGAAGAATGCTTGATAAGGTTACAGAAATCTTAAAGGGTCCAAGCTATAAGATGCTTGTGGAGAATTTTCTGCAAGAATACATAAGAGTCAGGGGAAGGAGAACATCAACCCTTGCATTGAATGGGTCTCGGCGCAAACCATGGCCCGGATCTAGGGTTTTTTCGGGAGCCTCCGTTTATGTTCCAAAGAAAATAGAACTTCTTAAAGAATTTTATGAGTCCTTTCCTGTCTATGTGTTAGATTGGTACACTTGATATTGTTTTTTTAGGATTTGGAATCAATTTTGTACATGTTTCAAGTTGATATTACATATTCTTAAATATTTGTGAATGTGTTATGAAATATATATATATATATATATATATATATATATATATATATATATATATGTGTGTGTGTGTGTGTGTGTGTGGCTATGAATATTTTTGTGATTTCTCATTTTATATTGCCATATTATATGTTATGTTATATGTGGGAAATTCTTAAAAGTTTGTATAACTTTTGAAGAACCAATTTCTTTACATAAATGATTATGTTAATGGTAATTTCAAATTAGGTTTTTTAGACGATGATTGAGAACATAGTGAACTTTTGACTCTAAGACCTTTTGTGAAACTATTCATTAATATGATTAGTTTATGTAATCATGATGATGAAGTATTTAGATAGGCTTTAATAATTCGTGTGTATGTGTCTGAAATGTTTAGATACGATGGCTTCAACAACTAAGAACATAGTGGCTGAACTTAATAAGGGAGAAAAATTAAATGGCGACAATTATGAGATTTGGAGTCTTAAGATTCAATATGTGCTGGAAGAGCAAGAGGCACTCGAAACTCTTAGCCAGATTATGGAAGAACCTGAGGATGGGACAACTGCCCAACATAAAAGGGACAAAGATGCCTTTGCTGTTTGGAAAAGAAAGAACTCTCTTGCTCGCATTACATTGCTAAGCAGCATGGACAATGACATCATGCGAGAGCTCGGACATTTCCAGAACGCCAAAGACATGTGGGCTGCACTGGCATCAAGATTTGGTCGAACTTATGTGACCAAACTAAGACAACTTACTATCCGTTTCGACTCATACAAGATGTCACATGGAAAGACCATGAAACAACATTTGAGGCAGATGTCGAATATGATTAGTGAGCTAAAGGATGCCGGCCACATACTCACTGATGAACAACAGGTGCAAGCAGTAATCCGCTCCTTGCCTCAAAGCTGGG